GTCGCACATAACCTCAACTCAGATTCACATTGTATCACTTATCATAGAATCACAGAATGGTTTGGGATGGAAGGGACCTTAAAGCACACCTGGTTCCAACCTTCCTGCCATGGGCAGGGACACCTTCCACTAGACCAGGTTACTCAAAGCCCCATCCAGCCTGGCCTTGAACACTGCCAGGGAAGGGGCACCACAACTTCATACTTCCTCAATGAATTTTTCTTAACTTACAAGTAACACCACCTCAGAAGTGATGCCATGAATGAACATGAAGTCACCTGTTAACTTTTATGTCTAATCCTAATTCTTTGTGCCTGGCTTCATACAGGTCCATGTGTGCATGGAGACACATACATAACTTAGAAACCTCACACTGTACGTGTTTTTTAAAATTCTTATTATTACATCAGCTTTTCCTGTTAAGAAAGACATTTCACTTGAAAGATGTCATGCTGCTGCTAAATCAGTATTCTTTAATATAGTATAAAGACCTCCAGAGTTGTGATAGTGCTTTTAGCTACTCCATAGGAACAGAAAGCCTTATGAATTACAAACCTGTGTATTAATTTTTAAAACAGGTTTAAAAATGCTAGCCCAAAGGAGCTGGTGGACTACCGCAACGGAACTGAATGAGAACAGATGTAAACTGGTAAACAAAAACATCCGGTTTATCCCTGAAATATCTCTATCCCCTCTGTCCACCCCCAAGAAAATAAACTTGTGCTTGAATAGTTTGGCAAGTATAACTTGAAAATGTTGCCCTTTGTTCCCATGAGGGCATTCAGCTACAAACTCTTCTTCTAATGCAGCCTCCACGAAGAGGTCATTTGATAGATACCCAGTCATTTTAAGAGCTCTCCTCAGATGTGAGGCAATAATGTTAAAAACAATAACTGCTTGTGAAGTTGTTAGCAAGACAAAGTGATCACTGGGTTTAGTTTTTCTCTATTAACTCTGGTCTCCTTGGAATAGGTAAAGATCTTTGACTTCCAGTTATCTCACCTGAAATGCTTTGAAGTATTTCCAGGGCTGCATAATCCCACTTATTTGATAACTACATCTTTTCTGACAGAAGTGTATGAACAGTGAGAAAAGGAAATGCCTTGCTCCCCAACCAGTTCTTTGCTGGCTGTCACTTGCAGAAGCAGCACTGGGTAAGGCTTACCAAGTTAAAAACAAAAGTGGCTTTTACAAGATCACTGAGCCACTGGGTAACGCTGCTCTTTAGCAGTAGGCAGCTGCCCTTGGGCAATATTGCCAAGAACAGTGTTGTCGGATGTATTTAGTATCTGGCAAGGATGGCCCAACTACCAGCACTGTATCCCTGTCAGCATTTCCAGATGTGCTCTACTTAAAGTCAAAGATGACATTCATGTGCTTTTAAAACTGTCATTATTCATCAAGATGAAGCTAAGTCACTCGTATGGTGAGCAGCTATGTTCCTTCCTTCTAATTCTCTTCAGATACAAAAGACGCTGCTACAAAATCTCCTTGGCACATAGCGTGCGGCCTCCTTTTACTCTACACACTATTTCACAGAACGCTTCATGCATTCCTGAGTACCCATTCTTTTCATGGCTGCATGTCAAAGCAGTAATTGTAGATCTTTCCAGTTAAAAAAGGCCTTCCAATGGTCATTGACTGAAATTCAGCTTCTGGTATGAAGCAACATCCTGAGACTGACGTACCAGTTGCCTTTGGTATAATGTACATGCCACAGTGAAATGCTATTTTGCTGCCATCAGATCAGGCACACCAATTATACTCTTAGCTTTATTTCTGTATGCTAGAACTAGATGTGTCATTAGAAGTGTTTGTTGCATGTCTAATTAGAATGGTGCATGTAGCTAAGGGAGGAACCAACAGTGGTCATCAGAAAAGGCTTGAACTCTCCTCGCTCTGTCACTGCATGTCAGCCTCACTTGCTGATGTCAAAAGGAAGTAGATGACTGATGCCACCTGGCTGGATTTCCTAAGTATTTCTTAAAAACATCTCTGCATAACCTTGGCTCAAAGTACAGTGGACAGATGAAAATACTGTGTGGAAGAAATGGCAAAATGCTACACTACTGCTCACGTAAATAAGGCTCTGGGCATGAGAATATCAATGCAGAAACGTGTTTCTCTTGCCTCTGCAAAGCTACAGAATACTGGCAACACAGGAGGAAATGATAGTAGCCAGGGAAGTTGGGGGATATAAAAAGGACCTGAGCACGTGGAAAGCCTTTGTATCTTTTTCATGTCTTTCACTGTCCTAAACTGGCATCTCTGAATGTGAGAGATGTTCTCCTGCCTCTCTAGAGCTGCGTGTTGTGGAGTGTTACTGTGTGCCATCAGTGCAGCCTTAATGCCATCAGTCTGGGGATACAAAAGAAAATTACATGCACAGAAGGAAGACAGTTGGCTGCTGCTAAGACACAGCAAAGCTCAGCAACACTGAAATGCATGATCTGGGAAGGAAATCTTGGAGCTTTATACCAAACATAGTTTTGTTCTTGCATGACGTCAGCTAGCTAAGAGGAAATACAGTGTCTTGCAGGAAAAGTATGTATGGAGTTGGAAGAGTCAAAGCTGAGACAGAAGACAAAAAGGCACGAGTCTGGAGCCAAATTGGAAAGTTCGGTGAAGTTTTTCAATATATGAAGCAGAAGGAAGGAAGTCTGAAAGCCATGTACTGTTGCAACTGGCAGGTGCATTAAAACTCATTTACCTTCATTCTACAAAGGGAAACAGTCAACTATCTGATGACCAGCCTAGTGGATTATTTTTGCCTCTAGCTTTGCACACAAAATCAATTCAAGTGTGGAAATAAACCTGACTACAGGAAAGTGGGCCAATACTGTCAGCACAGAATAAATGATGCAGCAGCAGTAGCAATAATACATCTTCTGGAGGAAGGATATTTATGAAAAATGCCATTTCCTATTTCAGCAAAGGTAACATAAACTGCAGGAAGACTGCATAAACTTCCCAGCTCTTCATTACATATTCACACATTTGTTCCAGAAACACTTTATTTAAAAATGGAGTTGTAAATGCATATAACAAAATAACATACATAATAAATGTAACAAAAATAAATAAGGAGAACATGTTCATACAAAATAAGAACATAGTAATGCAAAATGCTTATTACAGAACGTAAAGGTATAAACGCCTGAAAGAACACAAACAGAAGCTCGCATGAAGAGCCTGCAGCTTTTACCCTTCCCAGTAACTTCTTACTTTCCACTCGAGCCTGCAGAAAAATTACGTTCCCAAGCATTCAACAAAAGAAGGAATTATAGTGATGGTTTCGTACACTCAGTTTTAACGCCTAGCTCTAGTTTCTATTTGTTTTTGCCCTTCTGCACCTTCTAAAACTTCTCTTGTAGCCACTGTAAACTGGTGTAGTCCAGGCTCCCACAGTTAGCTGGAGTAGAGCATAGTCATACATGAAGGCTGTTTGCTTTTAATTTTTTTAAAGAAAATATGAAATCCATTATACAACAGATTAGTGGTTTTTTTTTTTTTTTTTTTTTGTTTTTTTTACATCTCTACAAAAAAAGTTTTTGCATTTTTATTAACTGGTCCAACTTCACTGACTTCTGAAAGCCTGTACAGTTTAAAAGTGTACAGAAAGTAGTTGTTTTTAAAACAAATGTCATCTAGGATTATTGCTGAAATATTAAAGACCATTTCATAAAAGCTGCAAAACTGTATCTTTAACCTTAATATATAGAGACTGATGCAAACATAGGAAAATTCCAGTCTATTAGTTACATTTAACAGAAATAACATTCCTCCAAATTACAGTGTTCTGGAAATACAAAGTAATTTACTTTTATTTTTTATTATTATTTCCAAATGTTAAGTTACTGGGACAACTTATAAGGAAAATAGGCTTATATAGGAAACTTTAAATAGACTTGCTTTCCAGTGGCATAAGCAAAATGTCTATGTTAGCAGTCATCTTCCAGAATCCTTTTAAATATGTAAGACAGAGACAGCTTTACTAGCAAGACTACAGGAAATTATACAGAAGCAAATCAAATCATTCACTTGGGAGTGAATCTATCGATGAAGCAAATTATGACAACTCTATTTCCAAGTCCCCGAAAGAAAATTTTACATCTCACAATCGTTCCAAGGAACAGTAATTTCTTCTGTAAGCTATGTTGCATTTGAATTGGTGAAAGTCAATTCGCCTCAATATGCTTTGAAATGCCCCATGTTTAAATTTATTTCCTAGTTCCAACAAACATTTGGACAGAGATGAGATATGAAATACTTCTACTTTAATTAACATCAAAAAGACATTTGAAGAAGACCAAAAAGTGCCAAATAGTCTTTTCAGAAAGTGGATCAAACACTGCAATGATAATACAAGTACAGTATTATCCGTTTTCTATGTACACCAAAACACTGTTTGCCGTTTATTGATATCGATATGTTCACCTCCCACTCCCAGCAATCTTAGTGCAAACATAATACGTGAACTCTGTAAACCCCCAAGAAAATTTATGCAGCAACAAGGTTATATAAATCACAGAACTGTTTGAGATTTTCAGTACATAAGAATGAATGCTTTCTAAAATCTGTCTTACCTTTTGCAGTAATGTGTCATTGTAGTCAAAGATAATGTTTCCTATATAAATCATCTAATTCAGAGTCAAATGTAACTGTTCAACAGTTCTGTACAAACTTTAGTGGAGGAAGTCCATTCATCAGAGCAGCTTGGCAAGGAGATCTGGGGTTTCGATAACATTAAATGTTAGACTGCTTGCATGGCTTTTTAAAAGAAATAAATCTATTAAGGGAAAATTGCTGATACTAATAAATCTTTTGCAAAGCACACAACCACAAAGGGCAAACCTGCCACAATCTGCTTTCCTACACTGGCATCTATGCATATCGTTATGATTGGAAAAGGATTTGTGTGACAAACAAAGCATCACAGTTAAAGAAAACTGGTTTAATAAAACAACTGCTGTTTGACCAAGCTTTTTTTTTTTTTTTTAAATTACAAAACCAGTATTATATTTTTTCCTTTATTCCTAAACATTCCACATGAAAGGTTTTTGTATCAACACGGAGATGTCACTCACGCAGGGTGGCATCTTCCTCTTCCCCATCTGGGTTAAATCTATTGAAATGTATGCTGAAATCTGACTCAGATTCAGCATTCTCAAATTCCGCTGCAACAGGGCCAGTGGAGGGTTGAAGAGCCCGAGCTTCAGGCTGGCAGTTTGGCTGCACTTGAGGGCGGGTACTTTGGGAAACGGGACTGGATTTCACCTTCGGCTGAGCTGGTAAGATGGGGCTGGTGAATCCCAAGTTGCTCAGAGCATCCAGGGTACCGTCAGGGTCGATCATAGAATTAATTGCTAAGCAATCAAGAAAAGGTGAAGCTTTAGATGAAATGAAGCTACACAAACTAAACACTGCCTGATATGAAAACAGGAAGGAGAGATGACAAACCATCTAAGATTATCTTATAGGGACCAAAAGATGGGATTTTTAGTCATGTTTAAGGAGTTCTTTATCTAACATTACCACTATATTGTGCTTCATTCTACACCCCCACTCAAATGTTCATAGCTTCTAATTCTGTGATTGAATTAAATTTGTATAGAAGTGCAGTCATTTACCCTATTTCATGCATAACAATGGACTCACTGTCCCCTTTCCCCCACATAGGGAAGGCAAACTGAAACACCTAGTACAATTTCATTTTATCATACTACTAACACACTTGTCATGTTTAACAAAACCTCTCTTTTTTTGATTTCCACAACTGTACTAACATTTATTAGAAGACCACTGCATATGCAAGAAAATGATATGGCCTCTTAGTGTGGGATTAAATCTGAATACTAAAAATAACAAATACCGGAAATTAACAAGAAACACAATAAGAATTATACATAAACATGGACCACTAATTCATTTGACCACTCCAAATTAAACTAAGTATAAACAATACACAAATAAGACTGCAACTTCTTTTTAAAATATACTAAGATTTTAAGTTGATTTTGGTAAATGGAACATATGTCCAAATAGCAGACTTTGTAAGCACAACATACTTCTTTCTGTTATATACACAGCTAAATCTTTGCACGTGAAAAGCAAAGTAACTTTTCTATTTTGTGGTCTGTGGACTCCACAATTACAAAGAGAGGATTCAGTGGTTTGACAGGAAGACGTCAAGAGCTCATTCTAAATTTTCATTTTATTGGATCAGATACAGGTGAGTTTTCTTGAGATTTCCTATAGATTATGGTCCCAGTGCATTGAACTATGCTACACAGTTCAATGAGGGTATTACTAATGTATAAACACTACTTTATACAGACTAATCTCCATATTCTCTATCACCTACACTTCAACACTTACCCATGAAAATATTTCTGTTAAGATTGTTTCAAAAATCCCTTTGGGATTTTCTGGACTATCTAATTTTCATTTGAGCCTTTTCTCACCAACATAAGGTATCATACTCTTCTGTTTTTAAAATAATTCAGCGATGTTTCTTTACCAAACGTGCCAGGAATTATATTAATGTATGCAACAGATACTGTGAATGTATTTTAATTAAAGGCAATAATTTTTTTTGTGACATACATACATATATATATACGTATATATCAAAATTAAAGCACGCAACCAAAAAAGAGGAAAGTGAAAAAAGATTAGTACCTTGCAGCTGTTTCTCAACTCGTTTCAGCTCCTGTAAGATTGATGATATTTCCTAGGAAAGAAACAAACATGTTTCATTAAGGAAAAGGAGACTCAAACTACCTGTCAGTAGTAAACAATCCCGCCACCCAACCTTTGCAAAAGGCTATTTGGGTTGTCCCTCCCAGCATCAAGAACACTTTTGCTGGTGGTGGCCCAGCCATGTCCACCACAGGTCCTGGGTGGCAGTGCTTGAGACTGGACAGCCATGCCCCACTCTGAAAACAAGAGCTCCCCTCTGCATTGAAGGAGCGTCAACCAAACTTCACTCTGTTGCTTGCTCATTTGCATGCTTCTTCTCAAGCACAGACTTAGACACTACAGTTCTGTACAATCAGGGCAAAGTAACAGCAAACCTTTAAAGGAAAGCTACAGTACAAGCCCAGTATTTATGCAATAGGGTGATTTATAACCTTGTTCACATGTGAGTCAGAATAGCAAGATGATGGCATCAGCATTTTGCCTGTAACCATTGGGCTCTATGCCCATGAGACCCTGTACAGCACACCAATGTTGGGTCCTCCTCACCCGTCTGCCTTACAGATTTTTCTCCTCTGTGCTGCACTACTTGCTAACACAGACGTTGCCACAGCAATGCAGTCAGAAACACAACCATCAGTAAATGTACCACATCTTATATTATAAATATGTAAATCCTACAAATTAAGGATCCCTCACTAAGAATACTGTTAATCCAGATGCTGAGGAGAGCTACCAGTGGCCTTCAAAAGCTAAGAATTTTCAAAGGCACTGATTTTAGAAACCCATTTAATCCATTTCAGAAACCCATTCTGTACTAAGTAATGTGATTTTTGTGGGTGGCAAAGAGACTGATTACCTTGGATTTTACAAAGTCATTACACAAATTCCACATTTGAGCTGGACACAAATGTCCCAAGAATAAACCAAACATCAGTTACAAATGTAGTTTATTAACTTTTAACAATATTCTGTGGTAAAAATAAGCACTGCATTTGAACAATAAATTGCTCTGAAAACTGAGCAGAAACTTGAAAATCAGCGCACAGACAAAAAAAAAAACCAACCCATACATTTTCAAACAATGAATTTAATTCATTGAAAAAAAAAATTGTAAAATGCTGAGCTTAGAAATAAATATACAACTAACCATTTTCTTTTTTAATGAATGCCTTAAAGACCTATTCAAGGAATTTAGAATACAAAACACCAAACATCAATCTTATTCTGGAAGTGGGTAAAGAAAACGACATTTGTAAACGTAGAAACTTCTGTGAGTAAATTGCTAAATGAAACTTAAAAAAACCCCTCAAAAATGAAGACAGTGTATCTACTAAATACACTGAGTTAGTAATGATTTCTCCTAAAAAATATGCCATTCTGCAGAAATTACAGGCCTAGTTTTTAATACTTCCAGAAAAAAAATCAATCTGGATGAGTTTATTAGCTCATGATGAGCTAATAGAGAAGTGCTAGGCAATTCAATGCCAGAGGAAATGTGTTCACATTTTGCTTCTGAGCAGTCCGAGTATGTGAGAAGTTCTCTCTGCCATCCATCCCTCAGAATACTGCCTCTCTAAACTGATGTTCTTAACAGCACGACTCTCCAGATGGGATAATATAGCCGGACTTTCTGCCTGCTCCCACTTCCAAACTGTGCTCCATGTTTAGAAGCAGAGGAGAAATGTACTAGGAAACAACATGTGTGCTCTGCTCCCTCACACTCTCACTCAGTCTGGTCATGAAATGGCTCTAATTACAGGGGGTGTGGGGTGTGGTTGTGGGTGATGGTGGGGAAGAAGACTACATGAATCAGCTGCAGTTGTAGTTGGTATCCTAGTTTTTACTTCTGCACAAATCAACATGATTATTTTTCACTGAAGAGTGCTTGTATTGCAGTGTGTCTACAGATTATTTTCTTGCACATACAGCAAAATGCTGTATGTGCTGATATTTAGAAATTAGATAAGAGGCTCAATCAATCCCAGAAAAGATAAGTATTCATACCATGCTTGAAGTTTTAACAATAGGAACTTCACTTTCAGCTCGCAACTTGTTTTCAATTTCTTCCCAATTTCTGTCTTTGTCCTTAAATAATATCCTAGAAGAAAGAAATTCAAGAATGGCATGTTTTAAATAGACAAAAAGAAATAAACTAAACCTGAAAGATTAGATAACATGATGCAACAAAGCAGCATAGAGAGCACTGAATAAAAGTGAAAGTTAATAAAGATACTGAAAACTGACAGAATCCAACCACGGAGTTTAAATTTTCAGGGAAGCATACATGGTTTCAGCAATACCATTATTTTTGACATTAAAATGGCACTTCTGTAGCTAAATATTTGCTTATGGTGTTGAAAAGACACAGTTTATTCTTTCCTCCAGCACTGAGACATTTTTCTAAAAATCCAACTATTTTACAGTAGTCAGAGAATTCTCTATTAACACCGCATTTTACAACAACTGCAAAAGATAAGAGAAAGATTAACAATGGTAAATAAATGCAACTCTTTTACATTTGGATTTTGTATTAATTTAATGAAGAATAAACGACTTCAGGAAATTAAAAGAAAAATAAATTTCACAGAATACGTTTTCATTGAAAAGTCTCAACACACAAATTGAATATACATGATTCAGTATTATAATTATCCCTTGTATTACATCTTTAAAGAAATCACTTCTATTAATTGTAAAACCCCAAACCTGCTGTGAGATTCCCCATTTTTATGTTTTCCTTCCCTGCAACGTGTGAATGGAATACACATGGAATGTGCAGATACTTAGGGTCTGGGTATTTTTTTTCCTCTTAAGTGAGACCATGAGTTAAAACCCACTTCTCTAATCGGTATTTCAGAGTTAAAAGTACAAAAATAGCTGCAGAAAAACTGCTAGGCAACCAAATCAACCAATTTAAAAATCATGACCAAGAACTAGTACATTTTAATGAAGTTATTAGTGTAGGTAGGTCTCTGAGGAAGTAATTTTTAAGGTGGAAATTCATGATACCTCAAATCTCATAAAGACCAAGAATTTGAAAGAAAGCTGGGAGACAGTATTGCATTTCTGCTCATCTTTCTTCAGTTATTTATATCCTATGGGAAATCCTGCTCTCTATTATCATCTGATCAAAAACGTTTTTCAGACGTGTACCCTGTCTTATCTTATCAGTACATAGATGTCTGCAGACAGCCCATCCAGAAGCTGCTGTAACTCTTTTTTTGTCCTAGAGGTCTTCACTTGCTGCTGATTCAGAACTGCTGTCAGATGTTTCACTGAGAGGAAGTGCTACTCATACAGAGTCATGAGATAGAGGCAAATGACCACTTCTGAAAGTGACTTTAGTGTATTATATGTGCAAAGCATATGAAGAGTAAACATTAATACATACTGCTTCTTGGGGAAAGAAAAAATAAATTAAAAGCAATCAAAACTACAGCAAAGAAAATATGGAACACTTCATGGCCTCAAGTAGTGTCACCATCTTGTAACAAAGCTGAACATCAGATGCCTGAGAAGATAGCTTTTATGTTCTGGAAGGGAGTGCAAAAGCTTGCAAAACCATACAACTGCAAAGCTGGATACCAGAAAGCCCAAAAACAATGGAAAATTTAGGACTTGTCTGACACAATGAGTTAAAATAAATAAATGAAAAGCACAGCCAATTAAATTTTACAGGACCTTGCACTAAAAACCGGGCAACTCCTAGAAATATCTGGATTCAGTATACAGAGAGTCTTACACAGCTGTACTTTCTGTACTTTAATAGCATTTATATCACACTGGACATCGGCAG